TATCCGTCGTGGAATCAGACTTTAGTTGATTCCTGATTGTCAGACTTTATGTCGACAACCCTGCTCAACCAGACTTTAGTCGGTTGGGCAGCAGCAGCCTCGGAAACATAAACTAACTTCATTTAAACAGTGTCCAGGATTCCGTCCCTGCTTTGCCTGACAACACGGATGACGTTGTCACTATGTGAGTTGTTTCCGCTGTAGATTACATTAGAACAATCTCATAATAATTTTAGGATATCTGCCACAGAGCCTGATGCTCCAGTTCCACCATCCAACTCCCTCTCCTCAGCCACTGCGGAAGGCATGAATGACGAAGACGAAGACGACCCTGGTCGCCCACATCTGCCACCATGCATCGAATTGATATCCCTCGGCCACTTTGACAACATCAAGATTGCTGCCTTGAATAGTGTTTAAAGGTTCAGTCCATAGGACCGCAAAAAACCGGTGGACCGAACTGAACCGGACCATGGTCCGGTCTTTTTTTTGGTTGCAGTTGCCCCAATTTGGGGGTGGTCCGGTTGCCGGTTGCCTCATTTCGAAAATCTTTGAAAACCGTTCAAAGACCGGTTTTAATCGGTTGCAACCGGTTAAACGGTCACGTGCGTTACATAGCCTTGTAACCACGTTTATTGCCTTTTATTGGGTTTTTGTTTCATCAAAAACGGTTAAGAATTGAGAAAGATATAACCAAATCCATATTTTACCCGAGTCTCTAGGAGATGTAATTCAGTTTCAGTCATAGCTATGTCAAATCTTCATTAAATCTCTTGAAAATTGGTAGAATGACGGGTATTTATATGCTTTACTATTTTATATAACCCGTTTATTTTTCAGAGTAATAATGGTTGAGATACAAATGGTTTATATTGATATAATAAATTATATGCAAAAAAACCGGTCTGGATCGGTCTGAACCGGTATCATGGACCGCAAAAGACCGGTCCTAGGTGGTTCGGTTCGGTTCCCTCAATATCTGGGTCGGTCCTGGACTGGTTGCGGTCCACGGTTGCGCATTTTTGGGGCAAAAAACCGGACTGAACTGAACCTTTAAACACTAGCCTTGAATGGTGCACTCAAAGGCAATACTCGTTACCGATTTGCCTTTACAGAAGGGGGTTATCGCAGCTACCACGGACGTCGCCCCAAGAGAGGGGGCCGCTCTGCAGCGGACGATCGGACAACCATGTTGGACAAAGAAACAGGATTTTGGGTCCCAATCCCAGCGAATTACACGGCCCCTCACACGCCAGAAGATCTCATTGAGGCAGAGAACGACATACGCATTCAGGATCGTCGTTGCATCGCATATGTCCACCCAGAGACTCGCAAAGCCTTCAAGGAACTCAATGCCTCTCGTGAGCCCGGCGATCCGGAGATCCACCCTCTCCACGTTTATGATATTTCAGAGGGGGAAGAGGCAGCGTTGGTGGCAGGCCTCAAAGGGGAAGAGGCAGCCTACAAGTTCCGAAAGCCCTGGGAGGAGGGCCACAGCCGCTACCAAGGCTCCTTACCTCAAGAAGGTGCCCAAAATGCTGCAGATAGGCGTACGGAAATGTGGGACAACGAAACACAGATGTACTGCATGCTCCCTGCGGGTTACATGGCCCCACACGACCCCCAGGACTATGTTGACGCTGTCAACCATGAACTGGCTCGAGCTGAGCAGCATCGTCGCTCTGCAATTATTCTTGCACGTCGCCAACTTCGTCCACGTAAGGAAGAAGGGAAGAAGGAGAAAGTCACAGCATTAGAGGACTGGGAAGCCCCAGATCCCATGATCGAGAGTGACGTCACTGGGTCCGATTATGAAGAGGGACGGCGTGAGGAAGAAAAGACGAGGGACTGGCATAAATCGAGGGGACAGTCGGTTACGGACACTGAAGAGGATGACACGAAGATTGACGAGGAAGATGCCAAAGAAGAA